CGGGGCATAGACCTGAATTACGTTTGTAATGAACGGCTTTGAACTAAATTTTACTAGCATTACTCTGTCAGATATGGGAATATAAGTTAAAACTGATTGAGCTAAGTGTTTTGCTACTACGATTGCAACTCCATTATAGTGATTGGCATCTGTATTTCCGGCATGGTACACTTGATATCCATCTACGTTACATACTCCTGATCCCGGCCATCGCATTTCGCTTATTCCGAGGATGCTGATTTGCATTCTTTTCATTTCTTTTATGGCATTATATATTTTACCTGACTCAAACATGTTTCTGACGTTCCATGTGGCTATTTTGCAAGGATTTCGCATATTAACGACCTGAGAGGCCCTGCAGTCTTGAGATTGTCCTCTCTTGCCGGATCTTGGATTCCGAGATCCATGATCATTAATGTTTTGTCTTAAATTATTTACAGCCATGATAGTTAAAACTAGGAGTGCCACAAGGCCTTTAATGCAGTAGTTCTCCTTTGCTTTCTGCATCCTTATGCCGTTGACTAATTTGTAGTTTTATAGTTCTTTCGCCTTCGGAATCGATTTCTCAATTCCAGGACAAAAGAGTGCCCTGCCACTTACCAACTCGTCCGCCCGAAGCCGTTGGTCAGTAAGTGGGGGATTGCTTATACCGACAATCGCTCGGAAGCCAGAGCCTCGTTTGTTGTAAAGCAGGATGCACCGGATGATCAGAATCAAGATCATCACACGGGCAGGTGAGGTTGACATTTTGACAGGAGACGCTATATGTTGCGCATCACAGTCCCTTACATCCCAAAACAATTAACTGGTTTTGGCAATTTTACTGATTTATTCTTTTTTTTTATCTCATAAGCAAACCCCCAACACGTCTCCTTTTTGTGACGTCTATTACCCAATCTTTGGAGTTAGCTTTTCTCCAACGTTTTAGTGGACATACGTCTTTCCATACTTTGTCAAGAAGTAGATGTAATATTCAATCCGTAGCTGTTTCAGTTGACACTAAATTGTTCGTGGATGCACCTATTTCAGTATTTTCGTCTGTCGTCCATATCCATAACGTCTGTCCATATTATACAAAAACATATTTGCCGAATCCTAAAATAAATCTGCACAGCAGATATTAGTAGATAAATTATATCATAAACACCATTAAGGTCATTTATGGTTTTAGCTTAGTAATCATTTCTAAATTTTAACTCAACCCGTTTTCAGGTAGAATAAAGTAAGAGTACTTACAGGTTTTTATTAGTCGATATGAAAGAGAAATTTTAATAAATCATACACGTAAAATGTATTAACGACACATCACATTTTTACTGAATATGGTATGCAGTAGTAGAAATATATTGTTGTCCAGCATAATAATATATGTGGGCTTACTTTGTTTTACATGCAACAGAACTTTATTTTATGGAAGTAAGTATCGATACATTGTTTTATTTGAAAAAGAAAAGTTGGTAAGGTGAAACTTATTTGTTTATTACACACATTATCTGTTGAATGGTAAGTCGTATCATTTTCTGGGTTTTACCTGTATGTAGGGCGGAAAAAGCTGAAAATTTTGGTATACTAAACTAAATATTTCAAAATTTGTCATTTACCTGGTTTTCGCAGTATACCGACGATATCCTTGTGGAGATATATAATAATAATTTCTCGGTATTAAGGTGGATCAAAAGATTTTAGCTAAAGTTTCTATTAGGCGTGGTGTCAGACAGAGATGTGTTATGTCACCGATGTTGTTTAATGCCTACACTGAATCAGATTTTGAGCCTAACTTAAAATTATCGTCGCGAAGGTAAGATTGGCAAAGAGCATAGAAGACCTTCAAACCCTGTTAAACACTGTAAACAACAACGAATGCACTGAAAAAGGCTTAACAATTAACGCAAAGAAAACAAAAGGAATATTGGACTGAAAAATTAATATTGAAGACTCAATACTAAAATAAGATAAAATAATAAAATTTTGGAAAGGGTGGTACACTTCAGATATCTGGGTAGTTGGATTGACTGCAGTGTTGAAAGTGACGAGGAAATTGTGACCCGAATAGAAATGGCACGAAAAAACTTTAATCCGTGCTGTTCTATATTGTACAATAGAAGGCTGTCATTGACCACACGACTAAGACTATAGAAGTGCTACATCTGGTCTGCTATGTTCTATGGATGTGAAACCTGGACAACAAAAATAAGAAATCCTAATAAATTAGAAGCCTTCGAATTGTGGACAAAAAGCGAGAATTGATCAACATAATCAAAATAAGAAAGGTCCAATATTTTGGTTATATAATGAAAGGACATAAATGTCGCTTATTTTTGTTGATCATTCAGTGCAAAATCAAAGGAAAACGCTGGGTTGAGAGAAAGTAACTGTCCTGGCTTCGTAAAATTAGACTATGGATAGGTCTAATAGTCGAGGAATTGTTTCATCCAGCTGCCGATCGAGAAACATTTCGTCAGCTTGTTAATACGACTCTCTGTATAATAATCTCTGTCGTCTCTCGCATCCGTTCTGCTCTTGGTATAAAATCACCGCTAATACTATTTCCACGTTCGTTTTCGATAATTGTAGAACTCTAACTGAACCGGTAAACTGAACAAACTGTAAAAACTCTTACTGAAAATCTACGTAATGCCTAAAAACTGAATAAAAGTAGCTATAACATTGATCAGAAATGAGAAAATATAAAAGTAGCAATAATTAAAACAGCAAATGAAAACTTAAAACCAAAGAATAGAAAACATAAAGATTGGATGACTGAAGGAATACTACTATTAATGAATGAAAGAAAATCATTCAAAACAAAAAATCTTTTGTTTTGAAAATATGACTTTTTTAACATGCATAAAAGAATTAGAGAATTAACAGGAATGAGAAAAACACTTCAAACTAGGCAACTAAGAGATGAAAGGGGTGCACTTATAACAGATATAAACCAAAAAATGCAGAGATGGACACAATATATAGCACAACTTTTTGAAGGCAAAGAGAGAACAGAAGCACCAAAGGAATTAAGGATGATACTGGGCCTGACATTATACGAGAAGAAATTGAATATGGAATGAAACAAGCTAAAGGTGGTAAATCTCCCGGGCCTGATAAAGTTCCTATCGAATTACTTAAAATTGTGAATACTTAATCTATTGTTCTTCTTTTGGATCTATTCAATACCATATATAGAACAGGTGTAATACCTAAAGAATGGCTCCAATCAACATTCATACTGCTTCCCAAAAAAACCAATGTAAAGGAGTGCAATGAACATCGCACCATAGCCTCAATGAGTCATGTCTTGAAATTGTTTTTACAAGTAATTCACAATAGAATACATAAGAAATTAGATGAAGGTATAAGTAATACACAAATGGGATTTAGGAAAGGACCGGGAACACGAGAGGCACTGTTTGCATTAAGTGTTCTTTCGCAGAGATGCTTAGATATTAACCAGGAAGTATGTGCCTGTTTCATTGATTTTGAGAAGGCATTTAACAGAGTGCAGCATAATCGACTTAAAGAAATTTTATTAAATAAAAACATAGACAGTAGAGACATTAGAATCATCTGTATCATTTCAGAATTAGCGCTTGCCGAGATCAGTGAGGGCCTTATAATAAACGGTGAGCCACTTAATAACATAATATATGCTGACGACACCGTCCTTCTGGCAGGAACACTGGAAGAACTGCAACACCTTGCTGAACAACTAAATATATATTGCAACATATATGGTTGGTGGCTACGCAATCTCCGTGAATGGTTTGGATGCAGTTCAATTGAACTATTCAGGCGAATAACCAATAAAATTATAATTGCCAGAATGATTTCCAATCTCCGATAGGAGTGGAACTTGAAGAAGAAGAAGAACTGAACCGGGTACTAGACGGAAAGACGGCCGGAATATCAATAGGAGGTCAAAAAATCAATACCTTGAGATATGCTGATGACACTTTAATAATCGCAGCAAATCAGGAAGAAATGGAAGATAATGAGATGTTTGGAGGAAAAAAGCAAAACATATGGACTAAAGCTAAATACGAGTAAGACAAAGATCATGATAGTAGACAGAGCTCGGAATAATCTTCAACACTTTGGGGGCTTTGAAGTAGTAAATACTTTCATATACCTGGGGTCCCTAATAACAAATGACGGAGGGTGTGACAAAGAAATACGTAGAAGGTTGACTATTGCTAGAACAGCCATGATGAAACTGGTAGCAATTTGGAAAAATTCTAGCATAACAATATACACAAAACTAAGGCTAGTAAGGGCGCTCATTTTTCCCATAGCCACATATGTATCCGAAACGTGGACCTTAAAGAAAGCCGACAAAAATAAACTGGACACTTTTGAAATGTGGGTATACCGCCGCATGTTGAGAATATCCTGGATTGATCATCGTACTAACGTATCGATACTAGAACAACTTAAAGTAAAGGATAGATTGCTTAAACAAATCCAACAGAGATATTTGCAGTATTTTGGACACATTGCTAGAAGAACAGGCACGATGGAAAACTGTTAGTCGAGGGTAGAGTTGAAGTAAAAAGAACTAGGGAAAGATCTCCAAGCCGTTGGGTAGATCAAACAAAAATATTGATTAACCAAGAGTTACATGAAGCCGAACAACTAGCTCAGGACAGAGAAGGATGGAGGGAAATCCAAAAAAAAACTGTGAGGGCCTGATGGTGTCAATACATCCCAAAAGGGATTGGGACTGAGGAGAAAGAACAGAACCAGGGCGGCGGCGACAATGCACATTCAACGCATGACAAGTGCGCACCATGTGAACACTAAGCAAAAGTTTAGCGCTCGTTAAACGCTTGTCAGGTGAGCCTGCTCTTATAATTTATGTTTATATTTTTGAATATTATCTATCGAAATTTACAGACATAAAAATATTCAATATAATCTAACGTTGCACAATTATAGATAACGACTACTATTTTAATAAAAAATACTGAGAACGTGAGAAACTGATGTACATAGTATAATCTTACCTTAAATCTTAAATCTCCAAGAGGCGGTTTTGCAAACGGTATTCCCAAAAATAAGTAAAAAGATTCACCATTCAAATTCACTCTTTGACACCCTTTAACTTGACCTTCGGCCACCGCGACTATGGGAGACTCCATCGTGGTTTTTGCTCGATTAGCACACAGTATCCGCTAATTTTAATCAACCGACAGCCAACTACGCTGTGATGCAACTGAATGACTGTACAAATTGAACCGAAGTGAATAAAGTCAATGAGATTATTTACAACCAGAGATAAAAACTAACTGTGAACTTTTAATTTTATTATCACTGTTACATAGATAATAATAAAATATAACATATTGACTTCATAAATATAAATTTGTTTACGTAGACCATTATATTACTATTATCCAATAAGTGATTTAAAAAGTATTATAAAACTTGTTATAGTTTATTTTTATGAACGAGAGTGTAATTAGCATAATTTTAACTGGTACCTTCGACCACTCCATGGGCGTGCTGGAGATTAATTGAAAAATTACTTGGAATAATTGTAAAAAATAAATGAATTATTTCAGTGTTATAAAGTGTTATGTGTATGTAAACAAAAGTGACCTCTTTTATTACACACTATATAAGAACTGACTGGCCTACATTAAAAAGGGTTTTAAAAAATTCACATTTTTTTTAATGTTTAAAAATTACAAAAGAAAAAGAGTTTTTAAAACCGTCTAAGGTATGTTGATGAAACCGTCTAAGATGAATAAAAATATTAATATAAAACTTACAGCTACTTGTTACAAATCCAAATCAGATTCAGAAGATGAACTTTCAGAACCAAGATTTATAATAACTGGCTCGATCATTTTATCAGTAATATTGTCCAGCTTCCACATTTTTTCCTCTTCTTTAATAGTGTGATTTACTGCCTTTTCCCAGTTTTCAGGTTTTACATTATTTACGGCCTCCAAAAACAACTGTTTAACATCATGAATTTTAAAAGTGGTATTTTTTCTTAAAACTTCACTCTTTATCTGTGCCCATACCAGTTCAATCGGGTTAAATTCACAATGATATGTTGGGGATCTAAGTACTTTCATTCCACGATTTTTGGCAATTTCATCAATTTCGTATTTTTTAAATTTTTCTTTATGAAGGGCACACAACGAATAAAGTTCCTTTCTTATAGATCCGGGATGGTACGTAATATTTTTTGAACTCAGCCAATTCTGCAAGTCTTTTTTTAACCACTTGGTTGTGGGCAGTCCTTCTATAAGTCTGGAGTGATAACTTGCATTATCCATTACTATTACACAGTTCTTAGGAAGAAGATCTATCATTTGTTTGAACCATTCTTGAAAGACATCAGCGTTCATGTCTTCATGGTAGTCACCGGTACGAGTTGATTCAAAAGTTAATAAACCACCTTCAACAAAACCGTCGGAACTGCCAATGTGTACTATTATCAGCCTGCGTCCCTTTCCTGATGGTGGGTTTAAACCAGTAGATAAGTTTTTTACAAAAGCGTGCCTTTGACTTTTAACAGTTTCATCCTGCCAAAATTTATTTGGTGTATGACCCTCGTTGATCTATGTTTCATCAAGATAAAATATTTTTCTTTTTTGGTTTCTCATTTCCTTTATGGTTCTTAGAAAATGTCTTCTTCATATGACAATATCGCTTCTTTCTAATAAAATAGACTTTCTGGGATTCTTTTTCCAGCGGAAGCCTATTTCTTTTAAAAGTTTCCATAACGTACTTCGACTCATTTCTGGGTAATCCTTATTATCTCGAACTGAAACAAGAACTTTATCCAATGTTGGAAATTCTTGTCTAAAGAAGAATTCATACACTTTCCGTCGAAGTCCTTCTTTAAAATGATATTCTATTTGAAATTTTGGTTTCCCTGGAGCATTACGTAGCATTTGAAAACTACCACATTTCTCTTCTTTAATAACTCTGTAAATCGTAGATTTCCCAACACCAAGTGTACTGCTAACTAACTCAACGGTCTCATCAACACTTTCACATAAACGTTTGTCTGTAAATGATTTAAAACAATTAAATATTAATGTTTTTTCATTAACTGTTAAAGGACCAATTTTTCGGCGTTTACACGGCACTTTTCCATAACACTAGTATACACAATAAACTGCACCTTGCAACTGAAGTACCTACTTTTAGTGAACTGTTAAGAATTTTGAATACGCCACTTGGACCTTCCTACAAAATGGAAAAACCCACTATCACATTTTCTGTGGAATAAGTTTAGAAGGTAATTATCTAGTCAATTACTGTCGTAGATTACTGGAATTAAAGAATTAAATGTTTGATTGTTGAAACCCTTATTTCGTGGAATGTACTCAATTCAGATAAAATAAAACGTTTTATTTTATCTAAAGAATTAAACTTTATTTTGCAAATAGGTAGGTACTTATTAAACTTTTATTGGTTATAAATAACCAATAAAATAAACATCTTACATTTCTTGCAAATTCATTAGTACCTGTTAACCTCCATCACTCCGACACTGGCAACCTTATTTAGGGATTAGTAACCCTCACAACTATTGTATTCTATTCTGCTCCAACCTTTATACCTGGTGGTCATACTCAATTTAAAATTGTTTTCCTATATACTTCTGTAAACTTGTTGACAAATATCTGTTTTTCAGTGAGTCACCCGTATCAACAGTTTAGGGATTTGCATACATAATTTATTGTTTTATTACTCTCTCATACATAAAAATACACTATAATAGACACAGGTACGGCTCTAAGATATTTTTTGAGAATATAACGTGTTTGAACGACCAAATTTTAAGAATATATTGAAGTAGGTAGATATTTTGGTTGGTTTAGGCTCTTTGACATACCAAAGTGCTATATATACAAAGTGCAAATGCTAACGCAGAGGTTTATGATATATTTTTTTTATTTTTTATTGTATGTATAAGATCATTAAATTTAACTGCGCCTAATGAAATTAAAAGATTATGTAACTGGCTGTATGGCAAACTGCCAAAGCCATTATAAACAAACAAAAAAAAGATCATTAAAGACTACTTGTCAAAGTTATAAAGGGGATCAAGGACGGAAAAGATCTTGAGCTCAGAGGTATCTCAATTGAAATCAAAGAGATAGCTTTCAAAGTACTATTAACATATCGGATCTAGGACAATTTCATTAAGGCATTTACAGCAAGTCAAGTAAGTTAAATCACAATGTATTGGTGCTGAAATTTATACCGGAAAGGTATACAGTATAGGTAAAAGTTTGTGGTCGGAATGGACCTTACGTGAGATGGAGTGAGAAACACCTGTTCAAAAGAAGAGAGATATATTAGGTCCGCCCTTTATATCGTCGAAGATGCATGAGTGGAAATAATAAAAAGAAGAAGTTACACGTTACCAAACTTATTGGTTTTGTTTGACCTGTTGTCTTTTTTCAACATTTTGATTTTCACTTCGGAAATCGTTTTATATAAATAAAATTTATTAATGTTTCGTATTTTAAGTACGATTTCCGAATTAAACATCTAAACATCAAAATAAGCTTATTTTAAAGTCACATTGTGCCGTATTCCCAATAAAAATAATAAACTGCAATATTACGACACAATTAAAAGCTTCATACAAAATTATTTGGCAACGTCGCGTCTCGCGTCGTCAAAGCACCGAAAAACAGTTGTTCGGTGGTCAAAGTACGGACAGTGGTAACTACTAGAGGTGAGTAGTTGACGTTTTTATCGTTAACGCAACTGAAACGATTTTCGTAAACAAGTAACTTAGTTGATTGTTTAACAGTAGTTTCAAGTAAGAGAGTACCTATATAAACAAACATAATGGCCATTATCGTATGCTAATATGCGTATATTTATTTCAGTCAAAGAAACTAATGAAGGATATATTTATTATAACTTAAAAAATAAACTAAATAATACAAATAATAAATCGTACTTACATTTACATTCCACGTTATTATTAAATTGCGAATCGTCTAAATATATACTAGAAACATGTTTTTCTACTTTACTTCTGGTTAACCGTGCTCTTCTTTTGTTTAAAATTAAACCAGATTTTAATTATGTGTTCACATTTACAATATTTTATGAATATAGTGGTTAAGTTAGGATATACATGGCGATGGTTTTTCCACCATTGTATAGAACTCTCGATACAGGTGTATATTTAGATGAGTCATGTCCAATTAATTCATCAAAAATACACCATGGACTTAAGTCATCGTTATCGTACTGGTTGATTTTCAATAGTACAATCTTCTTGTTCTTTAATTATAGAAGTAATCAGCTTCTTAACCCTTTATTTTGTTGTTTAGCTTCATTTTCATCAGAAAATCCCTGCATTGTTTACTGGTTTATTTAGAGTTACTAGGAAGATACTGAAAGTTATCTTTACACACATACTGTTAGATTGTGTATATAATTTCATACAGTGATATTTTCTGTGTATCAACTTCGACAAAGCCATGAAAATAATCAACAAACCTCTTAGTAGAGTTGAATATTAAGGCCAGATCCTTAGAGATTTACCACACCGGCGACTGGTACTAATTATTACTATCTATTTTATATACTAAACGACTAACTACTAAAAAATTAAACACTAATAGTGCCATAGTGTATATTTAAAATGATATTTCGAAAAAGTATTATACATTGTTAGCTATAGCTGGAAATTTTTGGAAAATAACCTTCCACGACTTTCTTCTTTCCGATTCTGGATTTTTTCCAGCAGTTAATTCAATATTAATATCCAAGAAATTTAGGTCTTTTCCAGCAGGTAACCAAGTCGTTCTTAAACAACTTCCAGACGGTGTTGGGTTTCCACATGCTGCAAAATTCGCCCATAATTTTACTAACTGTTTCAAAGCTTTTTCTTCAGTTACTCCTTGTTGCAAAAACTTGGATGCTACTTCCATTTTAAATAGGTAACCCAATTCATCGCCATGAGAGGTACCTAAAAACGTTAATTACATTACAAACAATATATATAGGAATCGTATTATATACAAAGAAAAACCGCTTGTTTTGATATTATTGTTGACAGAAATAAAAACTTGTTTCTAAAAAACTGCTTACTCTTATTCATCATCATCAATATTCTGGCTTTATAGCCCTACGTGGATCCTCAAAATTTTCTCTTCATTCGTCTCCATCCATCTTTCACTTCGGTTTTGAGCTTTGATAATGTGATACCTGGATCACTTGTTCTATTATCTTACCTTCCAGCTTCAATTAACATCTTAGTAAATTTCCTGTTGTAACCATGCATTTTGTCTTTGATGGGGAAATTAACATGTTATCAGCTTTACTTTGAGCGAGTAGTATTGCGTCGTCTGCATAGAAGATTATTTAAGTTGTTTTTCTCCCATTTGGTATCCTTTTTTTGTTCTTACTTTTTTTATTATTTCATCCATAATCAGGTTGAACAATAGAGGACTTAGGGAATATCCCTGCTTATCCCATTTCTAGTTTCAATAGGGTCGGTTAGTTCTTCTTCTACTTTTGCTTTTATTGTGAGGTTTTGGTAGATATTTTCGATCGTTTTAATTATTTCTACGGGTATCTCGCTTGCATAGAGTAAGTGGATACCGGCTTTTAATTTGACCCGGTCAAATGCCTTTGTAAGGTCCACGAAATATAGACATGTCGGTTTGTTGTAATCTAATGATTTCTCTTGCACTTGCCTTATTATAAATACAGCGTTAGTGCATGATCTTCCCGACCTAATACCTTATTTTTCTTCTGCGACTATTATAATTTCATTCAATTTATTTGTTATCACTTTGGTTGTTAATTTTAGTGTTGTGTTTAATAAATGAATTCCTTTATAATTTTCCGGGTCCGATTTGTCTCCCTTTTTAAAGAGAGGTACTAGGATGCTTGATTTCCATTCTTGAGAAATTCTGTTTTGTTCTACTATTTTTTGAATTAGTTTTTATAGTTGTTTGGTCAGATCTGGTCCTCTGTACTTTAAGAGATCGTTCGGTATTCTGTCCTCTTCTGGTGATTTTTAATTTTTTAATTTTTGTGATGCTTTCTCTTTCCTCTTTCTCCTCAATATTTATTTCTTCGATTGTCGTCACCTCTGGTGTTGGTGGTTCATCATTTATCATTATATTTATTCATTATATCATTCTATTATCATTCATCATTTAGCAAACAGGGATCAAAAGTAGTCTACCCATATTTTCTTCTGAATGTGTCTCGTTTTTATTAGTTCGTTTATCTCTTTTCTTTGTCCTCTGATCATTCTCCATATTTCTTTTTGTGTTCCGTAGAAATCGTGTTCCATCTGTTTTGAGAAACTCTGCCAGTGTTCCTTTTTTATTTGTCTAACTAAAGTATTAAATTTAATATAATCTTCTAGAAAGTAGTAAGAGCAGCACAACTTAAAACAGAATTATTGACAGTCAATAGACCAAAATCACTACTAGCATACGCAGATGACATTGACATTGTGGGAAACACAGTCACCAATGTAAAGGACACTTTTATTAAATTGGAGGTAGAGGCAAAGAAAACTGGTTAAAGGGTAAATAAAGAGTAAACCAAATACATGCATGAACAGACAAAAGGGACGAGATAGAATAGGGCAAAATGTTACAATAGACTCATATAGACTCGGACAAAGTTAAGTTTGGGAATAATGAGTTGTATTGCATGGCATAACTCGACGATGCGCTGTGGTTCTTGTTTACTATTGTTAACATAGAACGGCCAGTGTCGTAGTTGTGTATCGCAGAGAGCGTTTGACTTGTTGATTTGATTGTGTTGGATATTTTATTATTTTATTTTAGATTAGTGCTTAGTATAATATTGGTAGCAATAATTAGTGAATTATTAAGTCATTTAGTGTATATATAGTGTGTTAAATTTATTTATTAATAATAGTTATTTAACAACGACGTAAGTATTGTCAATAATATTTTATTTTCTTATGTGTGTGTGAAAGATATGACACGCAAACAAGTCCATCAGCCACAGAATGTTTTATTTATGTTTAAAGATGTTTTTTTTTGTTCTTGTTTGTTACTTTTTTTAGATATATGTATAAATCATTGAAGTTATACTAATTTATATTTCTACTTTTACATATTTAAATGTAAAGCAGCGGGTATCTGGACATATGTATTTTGCGAGTTTTCAACAATATTCTCCCATTGTTGTTCCCTTTTTAGTCTAATTTAATTTTTTATTAAGTTAAATATATCCCTTACTGTATAAATATTGCAAAAGACTCCATTCTGCACTGCTTCCTTATCTAGAGTATCAGCTTTTTCATTCCCTGGTATACCTACATGGCCTCTAATCCAAATAAATACTATATTTAAATTTACAATGATGTTCATTCACTTCATTCCTTAAAATTTTACATTTTTTATAGTCTAATGCAGATTTAGAATCTGTTAATATTACTCCTTCGAGTATGTTATTGGATGTTAACCAGGTAACACCTTTTATAATTGCAAAAAGTTCGGCTGTATAAATGCTACAAACAGGTGGTAATTTATATTTCATATTTTGTATAAATACACCCTAACCAATACCTTGTTATTACCTATTTACGATGTTTCATCAGATACTTTATACTATTTGTTTGAAACAGAAAATCACCGATCTCAATAGGGATTGTGTCAGTAAATATGATTAAGTGCATTTTGTTTCTTAATATTTTCATCTAGTAACATTTAACATTGGTAATTATTGGGATAGGATTTTAGTAGCTACAGGTATAAGTAAAAACACCTTATCCAAAATAAGAAAAGAAGGTAAAGAAGTCAATAAAAATGGAGCGACTAGTTCATCTTTTACAATTTCAAAAAGAAAACATTCTCGTGCTAAAAAAATTAAATTGGACCAAGGAGAAGAGAAAATCATCAAAAATGTTATATATGACTTTTACACCATCGAGAAAAGACCACCTACAATTAATGGTAAATAGTTAAGTTGAAAAATAATTTACGATAAAATATTTTGTTATCGTAAATAAAATAAAATAAGTAAAATTATAAAACAATTGTTTGTACCCATTTAGAACGAAATGAAAGTTTTCTAGTAAAAACACTGAAATAGATACATTTTTAACAAAAACGTTAGATACAATATTATTCCTTTACAATTTTATTTACTTAGTAAACAAGATTTATTTTCCAAATATTTTACCTATTTCTATTTATTTAAGGTATTTATCAAAAACTAAAGAATAAAGAAATGGGTTTTTTAGGGCCAAAGGAATCATTAAGGAAAACCATAATTGGATTAGGCTGACAGTAAAATAATTATTCAGCTAAACAAATAAAACTGTATAATGGATAATGTATTTAAAATTGATATTTTATTGGAATCGTTTTAGTTAAACTTATGATGAATATAATCAAAAGTACTAAATATTTGGATAATTTATTTCAATTCCGGTTTGTTTCAAACAATTTTTGTTTTTAACAAATGAATTGTTCTCACTTCTCTATGTTGTGATACATTTGAAATTTAAACCATCATGCTTTTAAAAATATTTTCTTCAAATTATCTCGAACAAAGTACAGGTGGTGAAAAACCGAAGACAATAGGAGTGTCCTAATGAAAAAAAAAAAAGAAATTCGTTTAAAATGAAGAGAATATATAAACTGATCTGAGGGTAGAACCATAGTTTATACCGACAAAACATATATACACAGCATATAAATTATATATATATATATATATATATATATATATATATATATATATATATATATATATATATATATATATATATATATAGAAGTCTTTACAATCGTTACTGTTTAGAAAATAACTACATTATTTAATTATTTAAAATAAATTACTTATTCTTTTTTGTGTTTTTTGTGTTGTTGAAACCCTTCCTTCCTTCCTGGCAATGTTTACTTATTATTTTATCGAATGCCTGACTATAAAATTCATAAATATGAAAAACTATGAAAATAAAAATGACAAATCCATTCTCATCACTTATAAAAATGTATATTAAAGCTACCGGTTTCCGTCCGCCACTGGTAGAAACGGTCCTCCCGTCTGCGCGAAACCCTACGTCACATTCTCAAACTTAAGTTTTTCAGACTCTAACTTTCAAGACAACCAGTATATATGCGTTTTATCGACTTCAAATAGGCCTTTTACCGAGTAACCATGACAAACTTATAGGTGTCTTGCAATAGGTGGGAATTGATGATCGAGACCTCCGTATTATCAAAAAATTGTATTGGCATCAATGTGCAAACATACGAGCTGGACATAACACGACGGAAGCAGTGGAAATACGACGTGGAGTAAGGCAAGGATGTATTCTATCGCCACTACTTTTTAATATCTACTCCGAATTATTCTCAGATATGCAGACGACACGGTACTTATTGCCTTCAATGAAAAAGACCTGCAACGACTTATAAACAGAGTAACCGAAGCATGTGATGAATATGCTAAAACTTAATACTTCTAACACAAAATTTATGGTTGTCAGCAAAACGGAGTTTTGCCAGAGCGTATGGAATAGAGTTAGAAAGAGTCCACAATATTACCTACTTTGGTGCAATCGTTAACGATAACTGGGATAAATATAAATATATATATATATATATATATATATATATATATATATATATATATATATATATATATATATATATGTGTATATATATACACATATATATATATGTATATATATATATATATATATATATATATATATATATATATATATATATATATAAAGCAAGAATCCAGGCAGCAAATAGATATATGTACAGTCTCCACAATACTATTTAATCTAAAAGTCCAACACAAACATCAAAAAATAAAATATATAAAACGGTGATTAGACTAGAACGCTGATCAAAGAAACTGAAAGAAAACTTGGATGTTTTAAAAGGAAAATCCTTTCTTTGGTAGAATCTTTAGGCCTCATCACGACATTAATAGCAACCAATACCGAATGAGAACAAATGCTGAGATCAAGCAGAGCGACAGAGTCGATGAGATTATATGGTTTATATGATACGATATATTCGATATATGGAATATATTTTCAGATCTAAGAACAATCGATCTACCCACTGACCCAACTATTATTGACGACCATTCAAGATGGAAGCAAGTTGTGCTGTCAGCCAAGAACCACCCCGGGTTATAGTGCTACGAGAAAAAGAAGAAGTAGAAGAAACAAGCATATCAAAATTGGCTACAAACAAATAATCTAGACTGTAGACGAACTTATGCAAGATGAAATATAGAAGTAACAAATCTAGTAAATAAGGCAAAAAATAATTCCTGGTAACCTAAATGTAAATAGCTTAATAACAGGATGTAAATGCCTAACAAACGGTAAAAAATCTGTGGAAGAATAAAAAAGGAACGAGAACAATAGATTTAACAAAAGACATATCTACATAAAGATGATTATTATAACAATACAGGAGGTCGAAGATGTAATACGACCTCTTATACATCGAAAAGCATGAAGACCACATGGTATACCAAAAAAATGACTAAAACAGCCCACAAATTTAAATATTATGATGATGTGGAATTTAGCCAAAATTAATGATTGTAATAAAAATAATCACATTTTTAATAATACATATAATGTTTGACATTTCGATTTCACATCGGAAATTGTTTCAAAGAAAAATTATTATAGAAATTCTGAAAAACGTATAACCAAAGTTTTTGTTATTGGTTATGGTCATAACCAATATCAAAAACAAATCTAAAAAAACATTAAAGCAATGGAAAAACAGATAATAAACAAAAACATATGTAAAAGCAGTACAACAGCAAAAAAAAATAGAGAAATTCGTATTAGTACGGATCTAAAGCAAGGTTGTTACATAGCCCCTAAACTTTTTAAAATATATCTGAATGAGGTGATCCAAGTGTGAAGAAGAAAGTTCTGCAATATGAGTATAACATCTCAATCTAAGACAAAATAATACACTTCTGCAAAGGAACATGACGATCATACCATTCTAGCAAAACAAGAGCGATAGCTTAGATATACTATAAGTTAGAAAACTGGAGGACAAATACAACGAATATGGCCCTACTATAAATATACAAGAAAACGAGTACTTAGTTGCTGGAGAATCGCCAGAAAGCCTACAAATTAAAATAAGAACTAAAAAATCAACTGGAACCTTCAAAAAAAGCTAGGAGTAATGAAGAAACATACTACAGGATTTGCCAAGCAAGATCAGCCAGTAAATATATATATATATATATATATATATATATATATATATATATATATATATATATATACGTATTATATATATATATATTATATATATATATATATATATATATAATATATATATATATATATATATATATATATATATAATAATCTGATATACGTATTATATATAATTACTTCTTTAGTGAATGGATAGTAGAACTAAAAGGTTCCGAATAATAGAACATTAAAGAGACAACGCTGTGTAAACTTCATAGAAGTGAAACAGTTAACTGTAAAATTAGAAAATAGTCAAAATTATTTTTATTAACTTATATTTTCTTAGTATATTAAGAAAATCTTACTACATACCTGGATTGGGTACTTTTGCAAATTTCTTTAGCAGGTTTAACCCAGCGTCTAGTGATATCCTGTACAAATAGATCGGGCAGTGGGAGGTGTTGACATGTAAGTTCGTGGCAGCGATAATTCCAGCCACAAAGTAATAGTCTGTGGGCAACTAAAAAACAGATATTTATATAAATAGTATAATCATTTTTACTTGGAAAAAAATTCATATCTTAAAAAAATCACAAATTTTAACTATATTTTAACTAACGATGAAAGAATTGCTGGTGTGATCACATACAGGGTGTTTCATAAAGTATGTCATAAATTAAATCACGCATTCCGGAGACAAAAATAAATTGATTTAATCCAACTTACCTTCGTACAAAAGTGTACACAAAAAAAGCTATAGCCCTTTGAAGTTACAAAATAAAAATTATTTTTTTGCATTATCTCCTAAACTACTTGACATTTTGTAATAAAAATGGACACGTTACTTTCCTGTTCTAAAAGCAGTTTTCATATAAAATAAACAACAAAATCTAAGCGCACAGAAAAATTTTAGGGAGGGTGTGCAGCCCTATGATAAGTCCTATGCAGTAATATGATATTTATAGAGGTTATAGACATTTTTTGTACTTGTTAATTCATTTAACAAACCAAACCTAGAAATAAGAAGAAGAACAGGAGTTACAGATGCAGTTGAAAAAATAGCCATGACTAAATGGGCTTAGGCCGGACATGTTGCCAGATTAACGGATGATAGATGGACCAGAAAGATTCTGGAATGATGCATATCGAAGCATAGGACGACCACCGACTAAATGTACGGATGATATGAAGCGCAACACCACAAACTGGATGCAAGAAGCTGAAAATAGAAATAGGTGGAAAATTTTACGGCAGGCCTACGTTCAGCAGTGGACAAATATAGGCTAATTGATGACGATGATGAATTCATCTTTATGAAGATATTTATTTAGTTATACGTAATTTCTTAAAGGTTAATGAAAACAGCCGTAACTCAATAAAAACTGTTTTTTGAAAAAAGTGATGACAACATTTTTTTTTTTTTTTAAATAATGTGTTAAACTAATGATGACACAAAATTCATTTGATTTAAACCTACTCCAAAGTTTGGGGGGATTTAGGGCTGCATACCCCCTTAAAATTTTTCTACGCGCTTAGATTTTGTTGTTTCTTTTTTATGAAAAATACTTTCGGAACAAGAAAGTAACAAAGTGTTAATTTTTATTACAAAATGTTAAGTAGGTTTGGGAGATAATGCAAAAAAAATTAATTTTGTAACTTCAAAGGGCTGTAACTTTTTTTGTGTACACTTTTGTACTAAGAATTCAATGAACTTATTTTTGTCCCCGGAATGCGTAACATACCTTTTTAAAACACCCTGTATTGTGACAATTCTGGTCGATACGATTTTACATATGTGACTATTCTATTCTTCTTTCAGTTCAGTATTCACTCGTTTTATTTTCTTCGTATGTCTTCAGTAGTCTTTCGGTGTCTCAGAGTATTTCCTGCAATTCTTCTTAGTATTGCCATTCAGGGCTGCTTTATTCATTAGGCAATATAATCAGTAGCCTAGAAAGGCAAATTATGATAGGGCGCCAAAAATACAGCTCAAAAAAATATTTGTATATAAAAATTAAATTCAAATAACATTAAATTACATCCATCAATGAAATAGAAGTGGGCATTCATTTCTAGAAACGAATCATCCAGAACAGACCTTGAATATTGACTTTTCATGTTCCGCCATTAGAGAACATTCGACTGGAATAAACAGATCAGTATTTTATATTTCTTGCCGTCAATTAAAAGGTCAACCAACTTTCTTTCACTTTATGTTTTAATGACTTGAAGAATGCTGGCGTCAAATTAAAACATCATGAAGAATCGAAGTACACACAGTCAAATGTCTTGAGTATATTCAGTCGAGATAAATTAAAAGAGTACACAGAGTCTGCAACTTTATTCTCCATGATACTGCCTCGTAATGTGCATATCACTTAACTAATGAATGTCCATTAAATAAGCCTTTTGTCATTTTGAGCGGATTGACTAACTGTACAGATATTGATTTGCTTTAAAGCTCTGAACTTTAAAATGTACTAAAAAGATCTGTAGAAAAATTTGAGTGACTCAGCGAATCATACAGCGGTGAACGTTTGAATTAACGTTAATAGTAAACAGATACTACAAATGCTGTAGAGAAGATAGCTCACAGTCATACAGTCGGACCTGGTGCGAAAGTGAATGACGCTAATTTTTACTAGATTTCAAGCGTATATAGGGTAGGCCTCTGACACGGTGAATATTTAATATACGAACAATATCGGATGAAGGTTACAACATATTGCATTTAAACGGCACAAGATCCAGAGCACTGCAGACTACTGAGGAGGAATATCTTCGGCAGTGGGCGCTACAGGCTGTTTGATGAATATGTTTATATGGTTATAGGGGTAAGGTGGCTCAAGAGCATGCACCCGCCCAAGAGTACGTACACCTATGTTTATTTTAATAATGTCACTACCACTTCTAAAATATATATTTTAATATATATTTTAGAAGTGGTTTTTCTTTTTCTTCCAGTACCCTGTCTGATTATCGAACGTTGGCGATCATATTGGCAATAATAACTTTGTTTACGGTGGTTCTAAATAAATTAGCGGTGGTCTCTTGATACCATTCTCAGAGATTTCGGAGCCAGGATATTCTTCGTCGTTTTGGACCTCTCCTTCCGGCGATCTTACCCTGTATTATGAGGTGTAGAAGGTTATACCTCTCTGGATATCTCATTACATGACCGAAATATTGTAACTTTCGAGTTTTTATCATTTTTATTATTTCTGTGCTCTTTTTTCTTCGATGTAAAACTATGTCATCTCTTATTAGATTAACCCAACTTATCCGCAATACTCGTCGATAAATCCACATCTTAAAGTCCTCTAATTATTTCATTAATGTCTCTGTAAGGATCCAGCTCTCCATAACATAGAGCAATGTGGAAAATATGTAGCAGCGTATTAATCTGATTTTAAGGTTTAACGTAATATTTCTATTACCTAGGATTTTGTTTAATTTATAGAAGACGGCTCCGGCTTTTTCAATTCATATTCTCTATTTCTTTATTTATATCCTAGTTATCGTTAACGTTTGCACCCAAGTACGTAATATTTTGGACTTTTTGTCTTAGAAGTATTAAGTTTTAGCCGATATTTATCACATGCCTGGGCTACCCTGTTTATAAGTCGTTCCAGGTCTTCTTTATTGGAGGCAATAAGTACCGTGTTGTCTGCATATCTGAGATTGTTTAAAATAATTTCGTTGATTTTAATGCCTGGATCTTCAACTAAGGCTTCTTTGAACATAAATTCGGAGTAGATATTAAAAAGTAACGGCGATAGAATACATCCTTACCTTACTCCACGTCGTATTTCCACTGCTTTCGTCGTGTTGTGTCCAGCTTGTATGGTTGCACATTGATGCCAATACAAATTTTTGATAATACAAAGGTCTCGGTTATCAATTCCCACCTGTTGCAAGACACCTATAAGTTTTTCATGATTTACTATGTCACAAGCCTTTGGCCAAAGAAGTGGTAGTGACATATATTCTATGCAATTTTAGCTTTTACTAAAAGAAATAGAGACCAAAGAATATAGACTCACATGCGTTTAATCTGACTTCATCCGTTTCCAATAACTTGTGTTATAGCTGTTTTGGTTATTGCTTCTGACCTATAAGTTATTATTGGTTTTATAATGGATTTATAAATTCTTAATTTATGTCTCCATACCTGGATAGTGTAATAGTCATAATAAATAATTTTGCCTTTCTGTCGAATTTGTAGATTATTTTCATCTTGAGCTACGAATATTGCTGAGTTGTCTGCATAACAGAGTATTCTGATTTGTAACAATAAAACACTGAAAACTTTGTTTTCAAACTTCCACAAAATTTATTTTAAATATTATCACTACAGCTGTTTCGGCTGATAGCCTTTCTCAAGTGATCTATTTTGGCTTGGGTTTACAAATTTATAGTCTCTAATGAAATAGGTTGAGGAGGGGAGAACTGTTTGTCTCAAGTTGGTCATTCAGAATTATATCTGTGTTTTTTAATTTGTTGATTTTCATAGATTCTAACAAAGATAGCTTAAGGCCTTTATTTTGAATGTGAAGAATTTTAAATTTGTTATTAAAAGAATGATTAATCATTAATGATTAAGAATCAACAAATTAAAAAACACAGATATAATTCTGAATGACCAACTTGAGACAAACAGTTCTCCCCTCCTCAACCTATTTCATTAGAGACTATAAATTTGTAAAGCCAAGCCAAAATAGATCACTTGAGAAAGGCAATTAGCCGAAACAGCTGTTGTGATAATATTTAAAATAAATTTTGTGGAAGTTTGAAAACAAAGTTTTCAGTGTTTTATTGTTACATAAAATGAATTTCCATCAAGTAACGGTCGAATCCATCAAGTATTCTGATTTATTTGTTGTCCATTGTATATCTTTTCTTTGTGGAAAATTTTGATAACTTTATACCCATATTGTTTGGGAAAGTAATATGCGAATTCATTTCATATTTTTACAGTTTATATTTTTTCTGTTACGGTACTGTAATGTGATCTAATTTGGTGCTGCATTTTAAAAGATCTTTTTGAAATATATTGTTTCCTGTTGTCTCATAAAACTTAAACTGGATCTCTCATTTATGATGTTGTGAATATGAAGAATTTGGCTTTTCTTTTGTATGGTTCAAAAATATACACACAAAGCTAATAGCTAAAAGGATTATAGCTAAAATTATCGGAAAGGTCGCAATACAATGGAATGATTTATTGTTACACCCTCTCGGACCACCGCTCAGAGGGTTACTTAGCTTTGACCATCTCAACGCATTTGGCACTTCTTCATAAGACAACAATCGACACGGACCTAGTTTCGGACGGTTCTCGTGCTGAGCCTCGGCGGCGACGCTAGCGTCGGTATCACGACCAACTCCTCATTCCTGTTAAGACGGCATTAATATCTTCAAAGGGTAAGTCTGTTCTTTGTACAAAACAACAATAATGAGTAAACCAGTTGATTTCATAACTTATTCACAATTTATAGTTGCTATTTTCGCTAATCTTAT